TCAGCATTATATATAGTAGTTTAATGTACCATTGACACTTTTTATTTTGGGTGAATCATACACAATAGAGTGTCACTATCCATTATATTGTGACATGATATATTGTTACAGCCCTAATGAAATGCTTTGCTTTGTTGAAATGTTTGGTGTTTTTGATGCAGGTACACATAAAGTGGAGTGCATGAATCCGCAGCAGGGCAGTCGGACGCAGCTAATGGAGGGAATCCAGTATCCCTTCGGATTGACTACTGATGGAAAGAACCTCTACTACACTGACTGGATGAGGTGAACCTTCCCTTTAACAGCTTTATGCTTCTGTATCTGCAGTCAATCATTTTATCCCTTAAAACTCCCATTTGATCACCAAAATGACATTTAAGTGGTATTTCCTTGAAACATTAATCATGCCTAAAAATATCTTGAATGTAACTCGACACTCATTTAGTATGCGTGGTTCTATGAATATGCAAATGAGCCCCGCCTCCACTCACCCACCTTGACGATCACACGTTGATCTGATTGGTTACAAGGTCGTTTGTGACGTCAGAAACACCAGCGATTTCAAAGCGTGTTTTTGAAACACATAAATTGTCTTAAAGCATATTATAAACAACATTAAAAGCGTCATTTCCATCACACTTCAAGTAACTGAAATCAAGTGAAAGGTTAGTTTTTGAAAGAAGCCGTATCTGCTGACCAAGACTCAAAAATACAGTAAAGTAATATTATCTCAATTTAAAGGTGAACTATGTAAGATTATTGGCTAAAATACATTCTTTAAACGTTTATTGTTCATTGACTACTATCAGTATCCCATTAATAGGTTTATCTCACCCAAAAGTGTAAATTTTATTTATTTATTTGACAAGGACAGTGTACATTAATTAGCATTACCGCATTACATTAATTAGCATTAAATATCGAACAAAATAATGTGAAATCATCAGATTTGGTCTGGGCTTGATGGTGTTTGTTTGTGGTTCAGAGAGAAAGGTCAAGGTTCAGTCCACTAAACCTGTGAGCTCTCTGTTCTTCTGAGGCCTTGATGTGTGTGTTCGCGAGCACAGATTTGGCGTTTAACCCTGAATGTGTTTGCTATGCTGAGGTCGGGTCAAGAGGCCTGTTTCAAGGCTAGTTGCAGCTGTGTGTAATTTCACGGCCCGTCCAGTGGCTTCTCTCTGATCTTCAGGTTAGGTTAGGTTACTTTTATTATACCTGTAGGTAAATTTGTTTTACAGTGCAATGACAGTACAAAAAACACACAACACGGGACACTGCACGACACATATTTGCTTATTTTAGCGATCGAGAAGAATGAGCGGAACAAAAATAACTCGTCAGCATGCATTACAGCAATGAGAAAAAATGTCTTTATCACGGTCCAAATGTTGTCACGTCCTGCTCCAATTAGTTGCATAAACTGAGGGATTTGTTTATGCATTATTATCAATGGACGGATCACAGTTTTGAGAAGAAAATTGAACTAATTTAGTTTAGCTTAAAGTCCCCCTGTGGTGAAAATCCAGTTTTTAATGTTGTTTATATGTCTATGTGGTGTTTTTAATATCCTTTAAGACAAACCAAGAGTAAATTCACAAGTTAAGATTATTTTTGGAGTATTTTCTCTTTTAACTTACTAACGAGCAGCACGCAACTCTGCCAGAGGAGTAATCGGGCTGATTGAATTAGATTTAATGTTACTTAGTTCATTTTTGCATTAAATTTGCCACAATTGTCTACAGTATAGTGCTAACCAATTATTGACTCATTTACGATTATCAAACCAGTTATTTTCGATTAATCGTTTTTGGAAATATTCCTCCTATTTGATCTAATTATTGATTGCACTGTAAAGTGCGTGCATGAAAAAATGCAAACAATATTGTTTTTAATACATCAAAAGTTTCCCCCAAACCTGAAATAGACTTTAGTTGTAATTAATATTTTAAGATTTGATGTTTTTTTTGCATTGTATCTTGCAATAAATAAGGTGATCAGACTCTGGATTATTGTGCATACACGTACAGTATGGCTTTCGCGCTCCCCTTTAAATCACAAAAAAAGTCTTAATAGTTTTTAATGCAAAATGCAATTGTAAGTTTCTCTTCTTTTGATTTTATTTTCCTTGTATGGTTAGCAGAGTAACAGTGCAATATAGTAAAAATATGAAATATTATTCCAGTGTAAATCATCTGTTGTCTATGTGAATATATAGTAAAGTGTAATTTATTCCTGTGATCAAAGCTCCAAATTACTCCAGTCTTCAGTGTCACATGATCCTTCACAAATCACTCTAATATGAGGATTTGATGCTCAAGAAACATTTATTATTATTATTATGTGTGTGTGTGTGTTGGATCAGGGGTGCTGTAGTCGTGGTGGACCGCTACTCTAGAAGAGAGGTCGATGACTTCCAGCCCCAGAAACGAACACGTCTGTACGGGATCACCACGGCACACGCCACCTGCCCATCTGGTACGAGTCGTCTTCCTCATGTGTTTCACTTCTTAAATAAAAAGTTCCACTTCCAAAATAAAAGTTTGTGTTTACATAATATATGTGGGTGCACTGTGTATAATTATTTTGTATATATAAATACACACACATGCTTGTATATATTTAAGAAATATTTTCATGTATATACTGTGTATAGATTTATATATAATGTATATATATTTTATATATAAATAATTTTTTTCTCTTAAATACACATGCATGTGTGTATATATATTTATATATACAACATAATTATACAAAGTGCACTCACATATATTATGTAAACACAAACTTTTATTTTGGAATGCGATTAATCGCGATTAAACGTTTGATAGCCCTATAATAAACACAACATCAATACTCCAAATACAAAAATAAAGAAACTGTTATTACCATTCAGTGTCTCTCAATGACTGATTGTCCTTCAACCATATGTTTTGACGTGACTTGTTCCCCATCAGGTCAAAACTACTGCTCGACCAATAACGGCGGCTGCACACACTTATGTCTGGCGACCCCTGCTGGCCGATCATGCAGATGTCCCGACAACGCTGTCGGACTGGGGTGTGTGGAGCGGGCCGGCACGAACTGAAGGAGATTCAGTCACACGACCCTTCATCTGAATCTGGTGTGAAGCTCCGTCCTGAAACATGCAATAAAGCCACACTCTCTATTTAACATCTTGAAATGCACCCAAAATGCTCATGGTGTGTTAAAGAGCAAATACAGGCTAATGAGGGCATTGTGAATATCTCTAACAACTAACATTATTACCCCGATACTGAGAGTATCCTTTCTAAACAAATAATGATACAATTGTGACATAACCTGACATAAATACATGTTTACACTTACAACTGTTCAATAAAATCATATTTTGTTTATTTAGCCTCGTCATATTTGTATATATTGTTCAAGTGCTTGTTAACTAATTAAAACTGTTTTTCTTTACTCGCACACATTGTCCAAACTCTCATGCTAAAGAGTCTCAGAAGGTAAATCGAGGTAAATAAAGGGCTTTTGCACAGGAACGGCCAGCAGAGGGCAACGGCAGACTACACATCTGATCAAAATATCGGCCCTCCCCAAACCGTTCTGGTTATTCTTTTATTATCTCTGACTGTTCAGATCATTAATTACGTCATATCATTCTGTTATTATAATACATTTAACAACGTTATCAAGTGTTTTCGCCACTGAAAAAATCATGAATTTCAGCTGATTTATGATAACTGGAAATGTAATAGAAGTAAATAAGTAGAAGTGATTAAATATAGTGAATTAAAAAAAAAACCATTTAAAAATAGAAAAAAAACCCAATGTGTTCTTAAATTCCCTTTCTGTGATAATGGAATTAATAATAAAAAGTCTGAAAAAAACAAAAACATTTTGAGATGAAAGGGTATACAAACTAGTGCTGTCAAATCGATTAATCGTATCTCTCTCTATATATATACAGTATATAATAAGAGTTCAGATGTAAAAGCCTCTAAGTGCCATTTGAAATTTTCTTCTAACATTATCATTTTTATCAAGCTTGTATATTTAAGTTCAGTGATTTCACTTAAATGGCAATGAAGATTACCTATTAATTGTCATTTAAGTGAAATCACTGAACTTAAATATACAAGCTTGATAAAAATGGTCATTTTAGAAGAAAATTTCAAATGGCATTTAGAGGCTTTTGCATCTGAACTCTTCATATATATATATATATATATATATATATATATATACAATTTGTGTGTGTGTATGTTTGTTTATATAATATGTGTGTGTAAGTATATATATATATATACATATATATATATATATATATATATATATATATACTTATTATATAAACAAACACATACACATATATATGAACTTTTATGTTTGATGTGATAAATCGATTTGATGACACTAATACAAATATTTTTAATTATTAGATCAAATACATGCTCATACAATTCATAATATTAGACATTTCTGTTATCGATAGTTAAAGCGTGTGCTATAGCTTCTATAAGGGAAAATGTCTGACTCAAACACTTAAATAATGAATGAATCTGTACAAAAGAAAAGTGACATCATGGAAAAGTGTCTTAAATCTGACCAGAGATCATACTTAAAATACGTCTAAATAATTAACTGCTTCGGGCTTTTAAAACATTCCCGCAAACATCCTCTTATTCAGACAATAAAGACGAAAATGAAGAGATGTCCTGTTTACTGGCGAACATTATTGTGTGACTGGAGCTCCCGGAGCCACTGCGCAATTGCGTCATCACGTCAGCCCTGCCCACACCGGGAAGCGACAAGAGACGCACGCACGTAAGCCCCGCCCCTTCAGGGGGGACACGATTGGCGTCATCAGAATGACTGGGGAGAGGGAGCGTCCTCAGAGGCCGCGGATTTGATTGACAGGATGTTAGCGTCTATTCAACCAATGTCCACTTAGGGTTCTGTTTTGTGGGCGTAATTTCCTGTACTGTTTTGCATGTCATTTTTTTGTCTTCTAAATTGCTTGTGTATATGTTAGAAGGAAGACCGGAGACGAGGTACGTAAATTGTAATTGTATTTAACACGTCCTAAACGTTACTTTCAGATGAATAATGCGACTACAGTGATTAAAATGGCCGGTTGGAATTGTGCAACCTCATAATAGAAAGAAGTAAATCAATGAGTGTTAGCCTAAGCTGTGCTGCGGGATATTCTGCGTCTGCTGTCGCGTGAAATGATCCAGATACACGCAAACATGTCTGCAGATACAAACCAAACTATCTTTATTTGTTCTGATTAATGTATTTTGTACAGGTTAATGTTGACATCGAAGCTAAAATAAGTCCCAACTTGTATTCAACAGAAAACAGTGTAATCTAACATTACTGCTTCATTTATCTGCTTGCACTGTAACTTGACAGTAAGTTAACTGTCAGCTAGATGTAATAAACTGACAGGAATAACGTACTTTTTACGTCATTGAATGCTGATGAATGGTGCAGTGCAGAGCTCAATTCGCGCCAGTCGTACATTTAAAAGTTCTTTTTCGTCTCTGTAGGTAGTAACGGATTTAACGGACTTTACATCTCTTAATCTGGATGGAACCCTAATGAAATGATACGTCGTTCCCGCGAATGCAGTTTGAATTTACCCGCGGGATTTTAGAGCTTCTGTCCGTCGCTGCTGTGGATGAACCGGAGCCGGTGGCGCTCATCTGGACATGGCCAGCTCACACCTGGCTGATCTGTCCCAGGCCTGGGACAACTACATGGACTGCCGTGCACAAGGCGCAGATCTGCAGGTGAGCGCTAGTAGACGACAAACGTTGTTTGTGGAGCTTGTAAAATACCTAAGTCTGAAAGTTATGCAGTTCAAACAGCGATTTGAAGTTTCAAAGCTTTGTGGATGGTGTATTAGACAGACATTTCCAGTGGATTTTTTAAAATATCTTCACCTTGTATTATTGTTTTTAGAAAACTATCATCCATCCCTTTAAAAGAAGCACTGTGATGCTGCTACAGTGTGATGCAAGGTTTTCAATATTTTAGATTTCACACAAATATGAACATCATTCGAGGAACACCAAACCAAAATATTAAAGACAGTTAGCCTACATATTTTAATGTATAAAGACCCAATTTCTACTGTAACAATGTATATTATGAATACGTGTAAAATATTTAGTTTGTTCTAATTTTCGGAAATGAAAATTCTGTTAATTTATTACTCTTCCTCATGTAGTTTCAAACCCGTAAGACGTTCATTTATCTGACATCTACACAACTACCATTTTGATCCTTCAAAAAGTTCAAAAAAAGATTGTAAACAAATCAAAATGTATTGAGTGGTTTAGTCCAAATTTTCTGAGGAGACTCTATCCCTTTATATGATCAACAGATTGAATTTAGGCTTTTATGCACATTAAACTTTGATCAGCGGACATAAACGAACCTGCTTGATGCGCGAGAACAAACCTTTAGCGGAAGCTCAAACGTGATTCGTAACACGAGAATCAACTTCATTGGTTCTTGCTGAAGCTCAAACAGGATGCGTAACACGTGAATGAACCTCATTGGCTCTTGCTGAAGCTCAAACGTGATGCGTGACACGAGAATCAACTTCATTGGTTCTTGCTGAAGCTCAAACAGGATGCGTAACATGTGAATGAACCTCATTGGCTCTTGCTGAAGCTCAAACGTGATGCGTAACACGTGAATGAACCTCATTGGCTCTTGCTGAAGCTCAAACGTGATTCGTAACACGAGAATGAACCTCATTGGTTCTTGCTGAAGCTCAAACGTGATTCGTAACACGAGAATGAACCTCATTGGCTCTTCCTGAAGCTCAAACGTGATTCGTAACACGAGAATGAACCTCATTGGCTCTTGCTGAAGCTCAAACGTGATGCGTGACACGAGAATGAACCTCATTGGCTCTTGCTGAAGCTCAAACGTGATTCGTAACACGAGAATGAACCTCATTGGTTCTTGCTGAAACTCAAACGTGATGCGTGACACGAGAATGAACCTCATTGGCTCTTCCTGAAGCTCAAACGTGATTCGTAACACGAGAATGAACCTCATTGGCTCTTGCTGAAACTCAAACGTGATGCGTGACACGAGAATGAACCTCATTGGTTCTTGCTGAAGCTCAAACGTGATGCGTAACACGAGAATGAACCTCATTGGTTCTTGCTGAAGCTCAAACGTGATGCGTGACACGAGAATGAACCTCATTGGTTCTTGCATGTCAAGCGAGCATGCTTCAGCTTCCATCGAACAACACAACTGCGTTGATGAATAAAAGCCTTCAATTAAATCTCATCATATAAAGCGATCAAGTCTCTTAAGAAATTTAAACTAAACCACTAAATTTCAAATGGATTAGTTTTACGATCTCTTTTTGAAGCATCGATCAAAGTGGTAGTTGCGTCTCTCTCAATGGAGGGACAGAATTCGCTCAGATATTATTAAAAAATATCTTCATTTGTGTTTCGAAGATGAACGAAAGACCATTGGTATTTTCGTGGTATTCCATATATATATATTCCGATATTTCTATGGTATAAGCACGGTACATGTCCAAAAAAACGCTTTTATCCAAACAAAACGTATGACAGAGAGAAATACATTGTACTTCAAGTGGATGGTATATATTTGTTGATGCAGTCATACGCTTTTTAACATCACATAGTCAAGAAAACACGTAGACGTTACTTTCATAATTACTTGCGCAGGTATCCTGCTGCTTAAAGGGATACTCCACTTTTTTGGAAATAGGCTCATTTTACAACTCCCCCAGAGTTAAACAGTCGAGTTTTACCATTTCCGAATCCATTCAGCCGATTTTCTGATTTTTAGAAGAATATCAGTAACCAGTTTCTGGTCTCATTGGTCTCATGACATGACTCTGGGGGAGTTGTAAAATGAGCCTTTTTCCAAAAAAAGTGGAGTATCCCTTTAAGCGCTAGTTGCCATCGGGTCGCATCGCACTATGAGCCACTGTACAGGGTCTTCTGTCTTGATATTTATGTAAACGAGTGGGAGTGTTTCTGTTCATGTGTTTGTGGCTGTGTGCTTTACGCTTTCAGTTTCCTGCCGTATGGTTTCGCCACATGACAGTTCTTGTCAACGCTAAACGCTGACACCGTATGACTAGTAAACCATGTGTGACTGAAGACTGTTGTGATGCTCTTTCTGTTTATTTATCCGGTTGATTTGTCTTTTTTTTATTTATTTTTTTTATTTATTATATTTTTTTTTTTTATTCAACTTTTATAAAAGCTTATAATGACATTTTACAGCAAAAGACAAACACATAATGGGGAAAACACATAACAGATCTTACATTGTACAGAGTAAAACATTAAATTCTACAAACTATTTTTATCCAAAATTTGAGATGTTTTTATGCACTTCTTATTTCTAGTAGTTGAAATCCGGTTGATTTGTCACTTATCAGGTAAACTGCTCATTTATATGTTTGTAGGATGGAATTGGCATTATTTAGGATACTAAAACTAAATTAACTCTATGCATTTATAGCAGACTCATACACTTACTATTGGTATTTGGTACTGTATAAAGTATGTACTGTATAGGGCTGGAAGATTAATCGGAATCCTAATCGTTTCCTTCAATTATTATAAAATCACAAAGATTAGAAATGCACACTTTCATCTGAAAAAAAAAAACCCCATCTTATATAGTCTAGCATATTTACAATTACAGTACAAACCTTGTCAGTGAACTGTGATGGCAGAAATAAAAAGAGCATTCATTGTAATAAAGATAAAATGTTAAATTAATCAAGATTTTGATTTTAGGTCATATCGTCCAGCCCTAGCACTGTATATTATGCACGCATTTGCATTTTCTCTATAAAATATACAGTTTATCAATATGTGTAACCATAACACACTAATAGATTCTGTATCCCACAATGCAATGTACCTGACATTTCATCATTTCTTGTGTGAGACATAAAAATAATTTGCATGAGTTATGTTTATAATAAACGTTCTGTTTATTATGAGCACGTTGTGCAATTATGTAGTTTTCCACATTGTGCCGTTATTGTTATAGCTTCCCTGTTCATGAATTTTTTAGTTGCAGTTTTTGTCATAGTTGTTGTTCTTGGTGTGAACATGCCTTTAGATGTGAACGCTCAGGCTTGAATCATGTTGAGTGCGCTGATAAAATGCGTTTGGCAGAATGTGTTAAACTGAACGCTGGAGAAAAAGGTCATCCGTTAACACTAACTGCACACTTTTCCATTGCACTGACTGTAGGCTGGTACTTTCAACATGTCAGTGTTGCTGTAAATCAGTTGTGGTTTGCGTGAGATGTTTGCAAGATGTGATTTGATAACGGAGATGTTGTTCGCTGACAGGATGCCTGCTGGTCTCACTTCTTGTTGCTATTCATGTCTGCACAAGTAGCGTTTCATTTGTACACTTTAGGATTATAAGAGTATTTTTCTCTACACACTGAAATGATTGTGGGTGAGTTCGTCAAATTCATTCTCATTTGTAGTGGTTCAAACTAAGGTTTCATGTGAGTGTCTAATGTTAATGTGAAGAGTCCTGATGAAATAACGGTTTTGATGACTTGTATTCTCTTGTAGCAAGTTTGTCGAGTTGTGATTGAGAAGTCTCTGGTGGTTTGGTTTAATCAGGTTTCTCTGTCAAGTCTGTCAGTCTTGATACACTCTACCTGTTAAGCTTTAGTTCAACCATCTTGCTGCAAAAACTGATTTTAGGACACACAGACTTATCCAGATTGGAGTTAATGGGTGGAGATTACTGAGATAATCTGATATTCTGACTGGTCAATCCTTGTTTGGGCAACATTTGGGTGGTTGATGCGACTTTTGGGAAGTTCACATGTCCTGTTGTGTCCTCCACCAGCATGTCGGTTCATCAGAGTTAATCAGAAACATGAGTTCTTAATATTTGCATCAACTGATCGCATCTCTTCAGATCTTTCTCTAATACGGCACCAGTCAAATGTTTAGACGACACAGCGATGACTTCAGATCAAAAGATTTTTAAGGCTGTGACTTGAAAGAATCATAACTTTTTTTTTTTTCTCGAAGTTTGTGAAAACCTGGAAGTGTATCTCTCGTGCAACTGAATTGCTCTGTGTGTGTGTGTGTTGTGTTGTAAATCAACACATGAGAGTTCATTCTTTAACCCTTTGAGTCTTTCTGTAGTCAATAATTGTGTCCCTTAAAACTCATCTTTGATCACCAAAATTACATATTTAAACGTTTTTTACTTCTTACTTCTTAAAGAGCCCCTATCATAGCATTTGAAATGTTCCTATTTTTGTTTTAGGAGTTCCCAAAAACAGTTTAACATGCATGCAAGGATAAAAAACACTTTATTTGTCTTATAATATGCATTTATTTTTAACTGATTTGCTCGCCGACTCCCAAATGATTCGTACAACGACTCATTTTTCCAAACCACTCCTTTGCGTGACGCTAATCGGCGGTGATTGGTCAGATGACAGACCCAGTCAGTTATTGTTTGTTAGCATAACGCATAAACATATCGATAAAGCACTGCAGTACTACAAGACGCTCTATTCTTTATGACAACTCCAACATTTCACATATTTAAAAAAAATTGACATTGGAGACCTAGAAGCTGCACTGAGCGTAACTTACACACACACATACACATACTGCCTCACGCCCCGACGCAACAAAACCGTTCAAAACCCATAAAAGCAACAATTATTAATAATACTTACAGGTTGTGATTCGAAGGAGGAAGCTGATCCATATACACTGGGT